TCACAAAGATAATCGACAACAAAAATAGCTTGAGATCCGTCTGGCACTGATTCTTGAAAGCGCTGGAAAAAATCGCTTTCTCGCTGGTGCTAACTGTGGAAAATGCGTTTTTTTAAACAAAATTAAATTTTTTTGTCTTTTTTCAAAAAGTAATGAGAAAATCAAGCTTCAGCAGTGGTGCATACAAAAAACGAGCCACACCGGTGAAGGCGCTGGCAGTTTATACCTTCGTCTAGGGGCTCTCTGTGAGTGCCACATTCTTCATTATTCTTCTGTTTGCTTGTTTATTTTTTTGCGAAAATGAACTGTGCAAACGAGATTCCTTGTGGTCCTAACCTTTTGATAGCGCAGACCGGATTTTCTATCACTTCTGACCGGGGTAGAGTTAGCGTCACAAAACACACGTTTTTGCAGCTGTCCTTCCCCCCTACCCACCTCCTCCCTCCTCTTTCTCTCCTCCCCCGTCCTCCCGCACAGATTACTTAAAACAATGTAGAATACTTGCATGTTATGTTTTGGTTCAGCTTTTCCAGCAAGGATCTTGAGGTGCTAATGTTCTACTACTACTGCAATAGAGTGTTAACGCTCGGGGTTATGTCACAGGCCTCCCAAACTGCCGTAGTTTCAATGATGAGTGACTGAAACCAATGCCCGGATGCACAACAAGTTGAAAAAAGATACGGCTAAAGTATGTATGCTAACGTATCATTAATTTCATTGATGCTGATACACGTGCTATTGCAGTTTTTGGGACAGTGGGTGTAGTGTTGGACGGTCTCGAAATATTTCTCTGTGCTACCACCTACGCGTGCCACCGCTACGAAACGCTGAAATTTGCCATCGGCGCTATTTTCAAATTCATTCAAATGCATTTCATCTTTTGCAACTCAAAAGTAAAGCAATTTTCAGTTCTTGATGCGGTTTTACACCGTACCAAAAATTGTTACGGCGAGCTCACGCGCATTTGCATGAGTGCATGTGCATGTTTTTGCACGCGTTTGTGTGTGTTTTATGTATGTTTGTGTCTGTCTATATGTGTTTTATGTGTGCGTGTGTGTGTGGGTATGTGTGTGGATGCTGCTTGTCTAAATTATGTTCAGTTTGAACATGGACAAACACTGGAACGTGTATTCCGGTTAATATTATCCGGTCAGAAGCTCTATTTTATTAACCAAAGATAATGGTTTTCTACACTCTGTCACATACGTAGCAACTCAATTTACAAATTCAAATAGTTACTTTGATAGATATCGATCATCGGATCAAGATCGCTTGCAAAGCTCGGAACAATGCATCTGGTGGCCGTGAATTTATGGCTGTGGTGTCATAACGTGCTTGTCAAAGAGTCCGCCAAAGCGATGAAAACAGCTGTGGACGCCGATGAACACCAGAACACTGTCCGCTCAACACTGGTCTTATCATGTTTTCCTAACTTTAGCCTTCAATCCCCATACTTTGTTCAGTGTTTTTTTTTTTTTTTTTGATTGAAATGGGGCTCCTTCAGAAATACAGTTGCCGCTTAAAAAGGTTTTCCCAAAACATTCTTTTTGAGAAA